TGAAACTTAACATTCACCAGTCTCCTGTTAAGGTGTTGATGAGCTACTACTTAGATGTGGTGGGTTCACTAAGAGGTGATGTCATTCTTTCATTATCTACAGTAGGTAATTGCTTTTTGCAGTACTGTTATTGATAGTAAAACCTGCCAATGTTCATCACACTAGATTCCCAAAAATGTAAAAACCACATGCCTTGTAATGATTAATTATAGGATAGATCTTGTGAATTGAAATTTTTCCTACTAAATTCAATTTCATCAGAATTTATATCAGATTGAACAGTTGTTCTTCAATTATTTAATATATGGTGGATTAACAAGACTTCTGTTCTTCCAGGTTGCTTTTGATGAAGCAACTGATGAATTTGCACCATACTTCAACAGACAGACAGTTCCCAAGATTCTTATTACAACATCAGACAGACCTCGAGGGGTACGTATGTTTTACTTGGAGAGTTCTGAGCGATCAACTGGTTATGTAAGATACCAAGGTTTTCATACTATGATTGGTAAATTAAAGCTGAAAATAATAGTTTTCACATGGATTTTTTCCTGCTGTTTTATTTAGTGACTATCGATAACCTTGTATATGTATGTAATCTATTAAGTTTCTCTAGCGCTGTTTGTTTCCTTCATAACAAAAACCAACCTCATGTGTATATTCTTGTATGCAAATGATCTGCATTACCTAATTGGGGAGATTACTGACATTTGTGAAAACCGTAAAAGAAGTGGTTTTAAAAATAGGAAAAAGTACACCTCAAAGAGTTTATGTGGAAACTCAAACATTAGTACCTGTAGTTATATTGTATTTTGAAACGTTAGGAACTTTTTGTAAACTAATATGTCCTTAATAAATAATGAGTTTGGGGGTTATGCTTTTGGAATTTTCATGCTTTTCTGTGATTGAGGAAAAAAAAATCCTTTAAAAAAAAAAAAGTCGTCCTTGGTGTGCTGCAGTCTTTACTGCAAATATATATTTTTTATTGAGGAAAAAAAAAATCCTTTAAAAAAAAAAAAAAGTCGTACTTGGTGTGCTGCAGTCTTTACTGCAGATATTTTTTTTTTTTTTTCCACTGACTGAATGAAGTAATTTAATAGCTGGTCTTCAAATGTTTATAGAGATACTGGGAGTAATGTATCAGCAGGGAGGGCGGTTGGAATGAGCAACCCTCCATTCCTCCGATAATTGAATTTGGCACTGTATTTACCACATTGCGGTTTAACTCGCCTGTTTTGCAGAGAACAGTGAGATTCTGTGAACAACTGTCTACTGTTATACCTAACTCGCATGTCTACTATCGAAGAGGACTGGCTTTGAAAAGAATTATTCCACAGTGTATTGCAAGGGACTTCACGGACTTAATCGTCATTAATGAAGATCGCAAAATACCAAGTATCCTTCTGTGTATTTATTAAAATAGATACACTGGGTCCGGGCCTGTTAGGGACAGAAAATAATTCTGTAGCGTGCATCAAAGATCTACTTTATTGTGGATTTTTTCTCTTCACTGTGCAGCTTACAGTGTAACTACAGAGTTAAAAATCACTGTGCCAACTTGAGTATCTGATGGCTAATGGAACTTGGAATTATTAAAGAAAGTGTGTTGGCTTTACTTTAGTTTGTAATGCATGGATAAACATTGTTATTATTTCAGTAAATTTAACAGTTTGATTAATAAACAGGTTTTTCTGGCCAGGAAGTTCCATTTCGTTTTGCTGACTAGATAAAACATTACCAATTAATAAGTGAGAAAGCGCTAGAAGATAACTCTGGTTAGCTACTGAAACAAAATTCAGTGGACATACTTCAGAACACTAGTTAACTAGTTTATGAATGTATGTTCGAAAATATAATGAAACCTTGTGAATTAGGCATAGATTACGGATATTATAATATAATACTGCATTTTGCAGAAAATGTTCCACTGTAAATTACATGTTGAATTTTACCAGCCTTATTTTTTTAACTCTGTGAACAGATGGTCTTGTTTTAAGTCATCTGCCTGATGGTCCAACGGCTCATTTTAGAATGAGTAGTGTCCGTTTGCGTAAAGAAATAAAGGTGAGACTCCCAGCAAAATTAAAAAAATCGGGTAGTCTGTTGTTTAGTGATAAATACGTTCAGTCTACTTGAACTGTCAAAACTGGTTGCACTTCTGTACGATTCAGCTGATCTTGTAAAGGTGGTTTTTTTGGTAAGCTAACAGGAAGCCAGGGACTAGAATATTCTACTTCCATAAGCAGCATATTTTCATAGTTATTTGCTGAATTTCTTTAACTGTCTGCCAAGTGTTTTTATAGCTGTGCCAATAAATAGCAGCTGATAACCTACATCGATAGGGAATACCCAGTGTATAGTATACACACAGTAGGGTATATAAAAATCAGCAGTATGAAAGATTTCAATAGATGTAGTTCCTAGTCTTGAATAAAACCTAGTTTTTCTTATTTTTACAGCCCTGTCACCTCTTCTGTAGTAAGTATTGCTTACTTAGCCCTAAATAATTTCCAGTAAAATGTGTTTTTTCTCTTCTGAAATAAGTAATTTTTAAACTTCATCTGTTCTTATTAAAGAATAATCCCATATATTCTTAGTCCCATATACCCTTCATTGGTATTAGTGCAGAGAGGACTCCTGTGATAGGTAGACTGCATTATTTGCAGGTGTGCTGCCAGGAGTGGAAATTGGTGCAGGAGAGAGGAAATGTAAAATTACTTATTTGTGCTTTTTCATTCAATTTATATTGTTGAACCAAAGATCCTTATGTTACCAGCTGCTCCTTTGCTTGTATACGAACTTTAGGTTGTGTCTGAAAAACTGATCAGGGCATGTTCCCAGCCCTGTTACTAGAAGTGGGCCCTGGTTGTCTTCCCCCTATTTTATTTCAACCTCTTCTTTGATAATACACTAAAATCCTTTTGCATTTGATCTATTCTTCGCATTCTTA